GAATATTTGAATCAACATGTATTTTCTAATGATTTTAAATTTTGAATTATCCGAAATTCAGGGAAGGAGATAGAATTTGTTGAGAAATATAAGGATTCAAAACACAGGTTAAAATTTAATATTATTTTATTGATGACTACTTGTACTATTAACTTAATGATTTGAACGTCTTAAAAAAATAATATTATTATATTCAATCTATTTTTAGAAATAGTAAGATTTCTTTTATAAGATAGTAAAGATATATATATATATATATATATATATATATATATATATATATATATATATATATATATATATATATATATATATATATATAGAGAGAGAGAGAGAGAGAGAGAGAGAGAGAGGAGGGTTCAATTGAGAAAAAAAAATGTTGAGAATGGGGGAATCATTCTCAGCCACTCATTTATTTTTGCCGCAAAAGACTTCGTCGTACCGATAGAAATGGGAAGGAAATAGACATGTGTTTTCCAACAAAACATGTTTCCTTAAACTATGCTAATCATTACCTTAATATATACAAAAACATAGTTTTTTCGTTTGTTTTAATTTTTAAGAAGCTATTTTTATCGAAAAATGATTTTAAATATACCAAAATTCATGATTTTTTATTCTCTACAAATAGACATCCATATTGATATAGTTTTAAGATAAAATAAAAAATTTATTTTTTTTATATTTTCAGCTATCGTTATTCATAAGTGAACAAAAATAAATCAGGTTTTTACTACAGTACATTCGTTATTCAGTTATAAATAAAAACTATGATTAATTTTTTTTTACAATTTAAGTATCATTCATATATGAATATAGCATATAATAAACATAGTATATTCATATTTAAATATTAGACGATGCATTCACTTATGAATATTACATAGTATATTCACTTGTGAATATTAGATGGTATATTCACTTATGAATATTAGATAATATTTTCATATCTGAATATTACAGAGTATTACATGGTATATCACATGTGAATATTACATAGTATATTTATTTGTGAATATTAGATGATATATTCACTTATGAATATTACACAGTATATTCACATATGAATATTACACAATATATTCACATATGAATATTACACAATATATTCACATATGAATATTATAATGTATTTTCACAAATATATATAATTTTTATATGTTATTCACATATGAATAACATACAGACTTTCCTGTCAAATGATCCAACCAAACACACCATACATTTCTATCCAAACAAGATTAAACAATAGCAAACAAACATCCATGAAATCATTGTCATCTGTTTTCTTTCCTGTCAAATGAAACAAACCAAACTCTCTTCGTTATCGTTGATTTCCAGTCAAACCCCTTTCTCCATCTGTTCATGATGAACACACCAAACCTGATCAAATCCTTTTCCCCCATCTACTCACCCGTTGAACATCGATCACCCAAACACCCACCTAACTGATTTACAATCAAAATAAAAGAAACGAGAAGAGGACCGTACCAATTGAAGCAGTAACTACCCCATCGAGATCCTTCAACACTTCCCGTCGATTACCACAGCCAAAAGCCACCATCTTCTAGACTATTTACGTCGATTGGAACCTCGGTTTCCCTTTATGCCTTAGCTCGTTGACCCACTAACACCGATGCCATCTTCCCTTGCCTCACTCTCTCTTCATTTCTCGCCGGCAGGAAGCAAATGAGAGGCAGCGGACGTCCGACCCAATCTCCTAGCAAAACCAAACCTTCGCTTCTGGCTTCTTTCCGACCGCAATTTCCTAGCAAAACCAAACACCTCTTGGTCTAGTCAAAACCACGGAGACCATCTCGGTTTGCGAGTCGGGCGACGCACCTGCGTGCTTCTCCCCCTTAATCAGATGAAGACGAGCACCGGAGAATCTTCACCTTGGTCTCCTTTCCTGCAAACGATGAATGGGTTTGAACTACGGATACGTATTTGAGATTGAAGGTTGTTCTCATATTTACAAGTTTGTCACTGTGTTTTTTTATACTCGAATAAAATGAGTGGTTGAGAATGATTCCCCCTCAACCTTTTTTTATTTTCTCAATTGAACCCACCTATATATATATATATATATATATATATATATATATATATATATATATATATATATATTATATATATATATATATATATATATATATATATATATATATATATATATATATATATATACACTTTGGAATCTAACTTCAATCTTCATGTTTTTCCATTTCCAAATATTTTCCATCTTAGAATATATTTGATCAATAATATCATTAGACTTAATTTTTGTTTCAATTTGAATCAACTTTTTTATTTTGACTCATAATTCTCATATTTTTTTGCTGCCGTTTATAGCATTTTAATGGTTTATCAGCATTAGAATTTAAATAAAACATTTGATTTGTTCGAAAGAAAAAGAAAAACTGTTGTGTTAAATTTCTGTTGGCCAAAATGTATATAAAAATATATTTGCATAATGTTTGGAGAATGTAACAGATGAAGAATAACAATCCGAGTAAACTCGGTATCTTATCTTGTTTTAAAAAAGCTATAAACATAAAGACATCTTCCAAACATTAATCAATATTTATAATCTAATATAAGTTTTCATGTTTTCCTGATTAGAAACATTAGCCATAATAGACATTTGTTCTTCATTTGCTACAATCTTTAAGCATCATACAAGTAAATTTTGATATGTATTTTATCAACAATATTTGGACATAAGAATTATGAGCCAAAACGAAAGAGTTGGTTCAAAAGAACGAATTTGTCAAATGTGAGTTTTTTTTTTTTTTTTTCCGAAGTATAGGGTTTTCCCAAAGAAGATATCTAAAATCGGAAAGGGATTTACATTCAATAATGGTTGAATGTGAAAAAAATAAAAAATGCAAGTTTTTGTTAGAAAAAAAAAAGTTAAAGTGTAATCTGGAAAAAACCAAATATGTAAGATCTTTTATTATATTAACCATTTTTCATAACTACTTATTAGAATATTGCATCATTTGAAAATACGGAATGTAGGAAACTAATCTAATGTTTTCAAATTAATAAAATGATCACCACTTTTGAAGTTTGTTCTGATTAAATCAATTTTGGTTTTACTTTCAGGATGTCGTTGAGACGTGACACAAACAATTTAAAACATAAACAATCGTATATTTTAAAATTTGTTTATCTGACAGCCGTAAATTTTAGATTTATATTTCCGATAAAATAAATTTCACAAGTTTAAGGTGTTTATGATAATACGAGTCTTTAATAAATTATCTAATACAAAAAGTTGTTCAATATGAGTTTATATAACCAAATTTTTTAGTCGCTTTTTTGTAATGGGTGCGAATCAATGATATTATATATTATATAATCCCATATTATATAAATGTTATAATGGAAATTTGACTTTTAATATCAACTTTTGTGAGTTGTATACCATGTCGATAATTTTAGTGTTGTGAATATATTTTAGTGTAACAAGTATTTACTATCGAGATAGATTGAGTTCAGTTTATTATTCGAGACTGAAGGTACGAGATGTACATACAGAATGATAAATGTGAAATCGAGAATATGGAGTCTCGGAGAGGCCCTCCTGGCGAAGTCTAAGGACAACACCCCTAACGAGGTCCAGGTGATAGAGCCCCTGACGGGTTCCTTGTAACTACCCTTTCTATAAAGGGATTGGTCTAAAATCAAATTGTCTCTTTTAAAACTCTTTTGAAATCATTTTTTCCCTTTTAAAACTCTTTTGCTACATTACATGATACAATTGCGGTTTTTCTTTATAACTACCGTTAACCGCTATTTTTTGGCGCCAATATGGTGTTGTAAACACCTTTTAACTGCCATCTTCCTTGCATAGAAGGAAGATCGCCGTTGCACACAAGGGTTATAATCAAAAACAGATTTCCATGTCTCCGCATCAAACTATTTCGAAGAACACATAACATAATCAAAGTATTATTTGTTTGTGAATTAGATTGGTCCTGTGATGTGATATGGTTCGATCTCTTAAACTGTCTCATAAGTCTTCATTCGTGTAACCCCATGAATAAGGGTAGAACTATAGATTTCAGAAAGCGATTTCCAAACATGATCCAAAAGATTATCCAAGCTATTGTTATTCTAAACCCTTAAATTCTAACAACTATGTGGCTTCCAAATTAAGGTTACAACCAAATCAAATATGTTTGTATTATCAATATCTTGGAATGTTCGTTATTATCCATATACTTCATAACAACAATGTCAAATATTATTTTAGGTGTAGTTACTCTTCGAATACAGTGAGAACCGAGTAGTCACATATCAATATCCTACTTTAACTAAAAATCAACTGTATGGGAAAATTGATCTGATGTCGGTAGTAACCAAATATATAATTTATTCCACGTTATGGTGGCTCCAGACGCATCTTACAGAACACAAGAAAGAGGTGGAGATAATCATCATGATACCTTATAAGATAGTCTTACAATAGATGATGGAATTCAAATCCATCGTGAGTTTTAATAACGATAAACTGCACTATGATTATGACACTCCCGCGAGAGGGCAGCAAATGATATCACGGGAGTAAAGGAGGATAATATCGCTTGTAAGTTGTAATCTAGTCTAAGAACATAAGAAAAATAGTAACTTCACTTTAATCAGACAGGCATAACCTATTGTAAAAGATAACCTATTGTAAAAGATAACGACATAAGGAACGCTTAAACTCGAATTTTTTGTATTTATTATTGACGTGTTGTTTTACAACCTACAAGACCATACATATTCTTGTAGAGAACTGACCAGCCTTTTGGTCTTTTATAATTTTGTATTTTGTATAGTTGTCTACTTGTCTTGTTGGATTAGGGGGGATGTGGGGTAGTTCATGATTCAGTGGATGCGTGTGCACTGTCCAGGATCAAGATACCAGTTATCCTTCCTACGTATGCTTTTGAATGGTCGACACATCACGTGCTTTACGTACCATAAATCTGATATTCGAACCTTACACATATCATTAATTTCTCATATTCAAAGAGCGTCATAGTCATCAATCCCATCAAAATATTCTACCCTTGTGTTTATTATACATAAAAAATATTAATTTCTCATAGTCATAAATCCCATCAAAATATTTTACCCTTGTGTTTATTATACATAAAAAAGAGGTAAGCACACGTCAGTCTCTCAATCTTAAACTCATAAACTCTGTTTGTCATGCATTGGACTGACACATGACAGTCTGTCAGTCTTAGACTCATAGATTGTGTTTGACATGTATTGGACGGATCCTAATGTTAATGTTTTGAGCACATTCAAACGACCACATAAAGATGTTTGAAGGACATTGATCATATAACTGCAAACATGTCGATTAAAATACATTTATGACACACCGAGTCCCCAAAAACAATGACATACATTACATATACCCATACAATATACCTGTATATATTGCTACTTTGTCAACCAGTAAATCAAGATTAGAAAGGTGCAAACGGAAGCAACTAATGAAAGAATAATTGTGTCCAATGATTTTTTCTTCTTTATCGATGACAGAATGCTATTCACCTGTTTTTAAACATTTACAAAATAGTTTGTTGTTAAATCATAAATAAACCCTTTTGCAAATATGATTTTTTTTTTTTTTTTTTTTTTTAGTTTTAGTAAAATGAAATTAGTTTATGATAGTTTACTTACAGTTGGGAGACGACTGCTAACATTGCTAAGTTTTGAATTAACACCACCAAATGTTGATCTTTGAAACATGAGAGTACCTAGGGTTTCTTGTGCTTGTGATATTACACCATCCATCTACATCCACATTAAATACAGCATTTCAAATTTCAATATATATAAAAATGAAATTTTATAAAAAAAATTAAATTCAACCAATAGATCCAGTTATATACACACCTGGCCTGTACTTCTCATAAGAGTAGCTCGCTCCTTAAGGAGAGACTGTTCTTGAGAGGCACCACCATCTTCAAGATCTAATCTTGTTCTATCAAACTCCCTGAAATCTTCAAGCAATGATGCATGCTCTCTTTTTGCTCTAAGGCTAGATCGAAGACGGTTGAATTCCTGTAATTAAATAGAAATAAGGATCATGAAACCCTTGATTGAAAGGATAACAAGAATGATGTTACCTGACTAAGATCATGATGGATTTCTTGATGACGAGTTAATGTATGAGAAAATATTTCTGATCCTCCAGATGACACCCACGCTTGCATTTGTGAAATTACATGGTTTAGTTGTTTAAGTAGTTGTTCTATTTGTGATCCAAGATCCTTCTCGTTGCCATCATCAACTTTTGTTGAAACTAATTTACGATACAAATGCATTTGATCATCCAACTGTGCTTCGAGATTCCTTGCCTTTTCCATACCCAAAATGAAAGAAACATAAGAACCATCTCACAATGAAAGAAACATTTTATATACCCAAAACGAAAGTTATCAATCCAAATTGTGAAGTCCAATAAATTTGATCTCAATCTAGAATCTAGATCCGATCATCATTGGTTTATTATTATAAACCCTAACTAATTTAAACACCCCAGAATTCGATAGGAAAACATGTCCTTAATCTCAAATCCGGTACTAATTACTAGTAAAGCTGAGATAAATATATGATACCACAAACACCGAGTTGTGCGAATTGAAATTAAGCAATCAAAAACAGAAAATTGACAGGTAAAAAGGGAAAACATAAAAACCTGCTTTCGCAAGGAGTCCCAAGAGGTTGGTGGATCCATGGGAGAAGAAGGAAACCAGTTCCTCCCTGTTGAATGGAATTGATGTTTAGAATTGTGATGGACCGACAGACGATTAAGACGAAACCACTTGAACCATTAAAATAAAAACCCTCGCGTATATACACATACACACTTGAACAAAGGAAGGTAAACCCCTTCTGTAGATGCACCTTAATTTTGTGTATTTTTTATAATATATAAAAGAAATAGTCATGGTGAAAGGTACTTATATTTTAAAATTAAATTTATAAGAAATATATATATCAGTGGATTAAAAAAATAACAATTTAAAATAATTATAAAATACTTAAAAATGTAAAAGAAATATGATATTTTAAAATTTTATAAATAATAAATATAATCTTTGAAATACGTATAATATAATATTTTGATGTTTAAAATAGATAAAATTCAAATATGATGTTGAACTAAAAAGTAGCTGAAAATTATTTTTTAAAAATAGACAAAATTCAAATATGGTGTTAAATTAAAAAGATAGCTGAATTTTATTTTTTTTTTAAAAAATAGACAAAATTCAAATATGGTGTTAAATTAAAAAGATAGCTGAAAACTATTTTTTAAAAATACTTAAAAAAAATTAATGTCATATTATATCTAAACATAAATCAAAATGAAAAAGAAATAAAAATATATCTCACATATTTTGTGAAATTAAAAAAAAGTATATGAAAATAAATAGTTGTAAGTTAATTACAAATAATAGTATAAAAAAAATATTAGATCGAAAACTTCGTAACAACTAAAATTTACATAAAATTAAAAACCAAGTTAATAACATTTCAAAAATTCATGGTGACTAAACTAATTAATTAAGAGATCAATAGTTTTTATCATATGGATTATTGAGATAATATGATTTCATATAAATATTTATCTCAAATTATATTAATATATTTTATTTTGTGATTCTCAACAATTATAAATATTGTATTTTCTCAACTTCAAACTTTTTAATAAATATGTCATCTGTCATATCGTCCAAGAAAATAACAATGTTATATATTAATAATATAATATAATAAGTTATTATTATTTCATAATCGATCACAAATTCTTTGTTATTTTTAACAATATATATTTATTAATATTTTATTCATATAAAAACATGAACATTCATCCGGTCTTTATATAAAAGTAAGCACATAAAAAACATAATACACCAAACTTGTTTGAGTTGTTTCACCACAATCAAAGCAATTTGGTGAGTCAAGTTTTTGATTCTATTATGTTTTTACTTTTTAATCGTTATTAAATTAGTTGCTTTTTAATACTAGTTTTAATAACTTGATTTATTTTTTATAGAAATTATTTTTGAGAGAATTTTATATATTCCATTCTTAAACATTAAAATATCATATTTTATCAAATAATCTAAATATCATATTTCTTCATTTTTATTTTTAAAATATCATATTTACCCAAATATATTTTTTAATAATTTAAAATCATTAAAATTGAAATAATAATTAAATATACCAAATTACCCTTATCTTCTAAACTAAAAGAACATTAGCAAACTAACTTTAACTTTGCGTCGAATAGACTATGTTGTCACAGTGAGAAGTCAAATTTTGGTTTGTATACACACAAAATATATTAGAAATCACTCAATTTTTTATCCATTGTGCACACGACCTACAATAGAGATTCCAATTGATAGCACAGTTGGTTATACCTATTTAATATGTTTTTTTCACTATTTTGATGAAATACAAAATCAAAAAGTAAAAAGAAAAGTCATAGTTTTCCTCTTTTGTATATTTTAAGAAGCAAAAAATCAAAATAAGAAAGAAATAGAAAAGTAATCTTCATCACACGTTTGAACAAGAGGTCTCCAAGATGACTTTCTTAGAATGTAGGGGTAACATAGTTTTTTTTTTTTTTTTTTTTTTTTTTTTTTTATTTTTTTTTTTTAATGTGATTAAAATATAAAGGAGATTAAAAAATATTAAAAATATATATTTGAGCAAATGTGATATTTTCAAAGATTTAGAACGGTAAATATAATATTTAGAAATTAGACTGAGTAATTATGATATTTTAACGTTTAATAAAGGTATATACGAAATTCTTCAAATAATTTTTGTCAAAAATCGGGTGTTAAACTCTTGATTGGTTTGGTGAAAAACAATTTGCTATGCAATGAAAAACTGAGATTTGTTTTGCAATAACCAAGATCATCAATTTGGCCGAATTTTGTACCTCGTAATGACCGGAACGAACTATAAACACCCATAATATGAAACATCTAAATCTTCAAAAAAACGTTGGTGAACCTATCCAAAGTCATATACTAAATAAAAATATTAAACAAATAATTATTTCTTATCATATATTCTCACCAGCAAAGTAATTTCATGATTAATAAAATAAAGATTGTGACCAAAGTTTGCGTAATTTACACTTGAAAACCTTTTCAATATGTCAGATCTATTCATAAATTAATTTTGAAAATGGTTGAAATCTTAATTTTTTTATAGCCAAGTAAATGACTAATCTTTAACCGACTCAATTTATGTATACTGATTCATTAATAGATGTAAGTTTTATGGTTATTTTGTATATTTATCATATATACTATCATGAAGTAGCAGTGGATCTATATGGTGAGCAGAATGCAAGGCCTTTGGTGAAAAGAATTCTTGAATTTCACTGTTTGAAATATCTAATTTAACACAAAGATCTTACAAAAATAATAAATGACCTCTTTCCTTCTCAATATTTTCTGTTCATATATAGCTTAACAGATTAAGTCATTTTCAATTTAAGTCCATTAACTAAAAGTTAAAACACAGCTTAATTAATGATTGTCCCAAACAAAACAATCCACGACAAGTAAAATGCGACAGTTAATAGTTGTAAGTTTACCCATAGTAGAAACTTGGATATAACAATAAAAGTAGCTGAAATGAAAATGTATCATCAGTTCCTCCTTCCTATACTCAAAAGACAACATTAACTATCAAACTAACAACATTTGGTGGTGTCTCGCATGTTGGAACACCTTACACAAACTTTAGCTCCTAATAACTTTGATTAGTAAACTGTTTTTCATTTTCATGGCACAAAACATCTAAACCCCATCAACCACTTTTCTATAAAAACCTTCTCAACAAGTCTCAAAAGCATGAGAAAAAAAATTAACTTAGTAGTAGTAACATGTTTTACTCCAACACAATGACACCCGGGCTTTGTCCTTCCCCATCTTCCATTGCCACATCAGCAGTGTTTGTGGTACCATTGACTTCATGCTGACTCACATCACCATTGCTCTTTTCATTTCCAAGAATCTTGGAGACTTGTTCATGTATCCCTTCCAGTGGTTCAAGCTTCTTTTTCAGCTTCAAACCTGCACCAGGTTTGTTCCCCACATATGCCTCAACTGATTCAACTGCATTTTCCTCAATTATCTTGCACATCTACAAATTATATGTAACAATTTAGCTAAAGTAAATATAACTTTACATAATTAAAAAAAAATACTAGTTACCTCGTTGTAATGGCGGGCCATTGCCAATCGATCCTTTTTATCATCACAAGCTGCTGCTGTTATTTCTTCTGGAGCTGTAAGAAAATACAAATTAGATTTTATAAAAAACTGCATGTGTTATTATTTTGACTTGACAGTTTGACTTACAGATAACTTGGATTTGAGGCAATTGACCAATCATCTGAGAGCTTGTGTCATTGTGGCTTGCACTTGGTCTGTCCACAACCTTTTGATCGGTTTCCATGTCATCATTCCGAATCTCATTGGGTTTTTCATCACCCTATTTTATTTATTTAAAAAAAAAAAACACCAAATGAGCAAAAAACAGCAGAAAGAAAGAAAAAGAAACATATATAATAATGACTTACAAAGTATTCTTTCTGGTATTCAGCATTAAGTCCTTTTTCCAGAAGGAGGACACGTTTCTTAACAAACTCAACCAGTCTTCTTTGCATCTCTCTGAAGTGATACAAAGCATTATTTGCAGCAGTAGTGGAATCCTGAACTTGTGGTTGAGTAGCTGCTACTGCTGTTGCTGGTGTTTGAGCTTCAACACTTCCAGGTGGGACAAATTGACCTTGAGGTGCCCCTGTCCCTGGGAGACTCATATTTATACCAGGAAGATTCAACTCTTGACAGATCACTTCTTGCACCCTTAAATCCTTGTCATCAACAATAGCTTGCCATCTTCCATAACCATGTCTTTATAGTTTATAGTTTATACACACAAAACAAAAAAAAGAATATGAACATGATATTGAGTCGTATTTATTTATTTATAATTACAAAATAAAATTTTAAATTATTGAGCTCACTTCAAGACAGCACGGAGAAGGGTTCGATCGTGTTCCTCCTTCCAGAATTTTAAGCCTCTTAGCCCTGGATACCGATAGATGATGTCATCTGTAAAAAGGGGAGCACTTTGATTCTCTGAAGTGTTTTTGACCTGTAGCAGTAATTAAAACAATTAACATACCAAAAAGATTAGAAAAAAAAAATCAAACATGTAAAAGATAGTTTTAGAAACGTATTGATCATCAACTTACCTTATCTCTTACAAGAAGCAAGACTGCAATCCTGACAAGTACATCCTCTATTCTTAGCCCTTCTTTCGGAACACCATCTGCATTAAAATAAAATTATAAAAAAACATGAACTCTGACAAAAAAAATAAAAATCATAGTTTTTTAAGTTTTAACCACAAAAAATCACCTGAAAAAGTTGCAGCATCTGTAATGTCTTCAGAAATGTGTGACAAAAAGAGAGTTCCATAACTGCATGACATAATAAACCAAAAAGATGGTCTTTTATATTTCAATCCACCAACAAAAGAAAATGTTAAACTAATTTTTGCAGATGAAACAGCTCTTACACTTTAATTTCCTCATAACTCTTTTGCTTCAAACGTGAAGTAAATTCTGCCCAATCAAAGTCTCCAACCCCAAATCTGCAATGTACTTTACACAGTTAATACTGATTGCTAATAAAAAAAGTGTAAAAAGATAAAGACAAGTCTATAATACCTCATCAAGATTTGAACAAATTGAGCCCTTTGACTTTGATTAAATCCCAATACTCTAAAGGCTCTCCCTTCACCTTCCATAAGAGGAAGTAGCTCAGCATTGTCAACTGCAAAAATGATTAAGAAAAAGAGCCCATTAACAAATAT